TGTGTGTGTGGTCTCTGTGTGTGTTGTCTCGGTGTGTGTTGTCTCGGTGTGTGTTGTCTCAGTGTGTGTTGTCTCTGTGTGTGTTGTCTCTGTGTGATCTCTGTGTGTGTGGTCTCGGTGTGTGTGATCTCTGTGTGTGTGGTCTCTGTGTGTGTGTTGTCTCGGTGTGTGTTGTCTCGGTGTGTGTTGTCTCAGTGTGTGTTGTCTCTGTGTGTGTTGTCTCTGTGTGAGTTGTCTCGGAAAGGGAGGAGCGGGAGAAGCGGGAGAAGCGGGATGAGACGTAGAAAAGAAGAACCCCACACTAAGATGTGGGGAATTACCCTGGAACAACAGAACAGCTATAAAACAGTCAAACTACAAACAACCGAAGGTAAAATGGTGCAGGTATGAAAACCTAAGAAAGAGTCCAGGGGTAGAAACCCTCAATGTACCAGTGGAGAGGCGTCTAACGAAAAAAACAAAAGAATCGACAAATCCTCAAAGCGAGTCTCCAAAAGCAAAATAGAAACTCGTGACTGCAGAGTGCAAGAACCGATGCAATGGCTGGAACTTTGTTATACTTAAATCAGGGACCATTGGCAAGTGAATGGTGATCACAGCAGGTACAAGTCTGTGCGTCCACAGACTCCTCCACGACTGACGAAGAAGCTCCTATCACCATGATCACTAACACGCAGCAATTAACCACCCACGGTACAATCAAGCAAAACCCGAATTCGACATGGTCTGCGCACATTGAAACACTTGGTTGTAGTCGGTTAGAAGGCAAGACCAGATGATCGTGCCCCTTCAACTGGATCCATTTTACGACCCTGCTGACTGGGGGTCTTGGTAAGAGTAGGCCGGACCATGGCACATATCATGTATATATATATATATATGCAGTTTGACCATGGCACATATCATGTATATATATATATATTTCATATATACTACAAAACGATAGGGTGATGGAGGAGCAAACGACGGTCTTTCATTTGCTCATTTATTGAACCTGAGAATTCATGATTTGCTCAGTTTCAATCAGAGATGTAGTGAAACCCGCAATTTTGAGGCAGCTGTGGACCAAGCCTTCTTCGAGTTTCAGCCTTCAGCCGCAAATCCTGAAAAGCAAGTGGCTGAAGTACATCAGCATCTCCATGACTCGTAAGGGCCTCAATAGCGTCAAGACTTGCCCAAAGGCCTCAAAGTAGAGATGCTCACGAAGCAATTTGGCCACTTTGAGGTTTTCAAAATATGAGAATGAGCTCGTGACTGGACGGAATCAGTTGGCACTGTGTGTGAATGAGTATTTTGGCAGTAGTTGCTCCAGTTAAGGATGGGCCGTATAAAGGATCCTTGATGGACTTGTCCGGGTCCCAATTGCACGTTGTCATATCATGCTGCTATACTATGATGAGTTCCTTTTGCCAAGGCTGGCCCTTTCGTCTCCTGCTCGCTTTGATCATTTGGTCCACTATGGGGGCTCTTACTACTGCTACCTGTTCAACCGAGTTCGGGCCTTTTCAGCCACTTCTCCAAGTGAGTTGCTCGCAGTTCATGCAGAGTGGCAGACCGAGGCCCTTGCAGCTCACGTATGGCGCCAAAGCTTCCAAGCAGACCCCTTTAATCGAGAAACGGGGGTCCGTTTACGAGGCCGAACTGCGGGACTTTTACCCAATAAAGGAGATGAAAAAAGGTGGATGGTCTCTTTTTTCATATCCGTTTTCTACACTTAGGATTTCTGATTTTTGGTTCCCTTAAACTTTAAACAATGCCTTTCATCTTGTTTTTTTTTAGTGCAGTCCGTGAACTCTCCAGGCATGCTGCGTCAAGGCACTGCTGCAAACCGCGACACGGGACACAGCGTGGGCAATTCCCACAGTCTCCCCATTGTGCATCGTACTGCGTTGGTTGTCTATGAAATTTCAATATTTGAGAGATTCATTGGGTCAAGCTTTGTTCTGTTGGATTTACTGTGCGAGTTTGGAGGTTCAGTGGTGCAGACGCTGGACGTGATAAGGGAGTTGTGCCCTGGAGATGTCTTTGCAGCACATGAAGTGCCGCTGGATGCAATGATGCAGCCACTTGTTTCGAAAATGGTTGAACTGTTTACACAGTAACTATATAAACATTTGTCAGTCTGTTGCTTAGTCTTTTTCAACTGCAGAGTAGAATCAGGCTTTGATCCCGTGACTGCTGCACAGGTTGGCTCATGCAAGAAGTGTCTGAGCAGCGTAAAAATCAGAGCGGCTGCGTTGCAAAGCCAGCGGGTTGTTCTCTCTCTCTCTCTCTCTCGCGCCAGCTTCACACCAGCAAAGCATTCTTCCAAGGCTGCTGGTTCTACCTCTGGGATTTGGGACTCTTTTGCTCAGGTGCAAGTTGTTTGAGTTGGCAGACTCTTTTGTCTCGCATACTTTTTGATTTGCCAGCCGTGCTCCTTGCTTTAGGCTGCTTCTGCCTCTCAAGGTCCAGTCTGTTCTCCAGGCCCAAGACGTAAGCGCAAACCACAAAGAGAAAGAGGTTTTTTGATGTTCTTTTGTGCGTCGCTTGAGAACGACTTGTCTTGGCACTGGCTCAAGGAACAACATTACATGGCTTGAATAAATGCAAGCGAATACAAGAGGACCTGCTTTCTGCACTGCTGATGCAGTTTACAGTAATAGATGAGACACATGCCATTCTTCGGCCGGATGAGAGAACTGCAAGAACGCCTATGTGACCATGTGGCATGAAGCAGTAGCAGACAGGAAACCTCCGTACACTGCAATGATGAGGACGGTTTGCACACTGGTGTTCGGACATGGCACGGATCGAGACTGCACCATGTTTGCAAGTGTTTAGCTGGATTAATGGAGACATCGTGCAGCTGTTTTGGTGCAAGCAAGATCTGGGAGGCCGGCTTTTGTGGCTTTTGTGCCTCATGGGTACTGACACTTCCAGCTGAGCTTTGGATGTAGGAAGACTCCGGATTCGGGGGGCGGTTTCCGGAGGGTCTCTTGACATCCTTCTCGGGATGCTTTGTTGACCACTTGCAAGTATTGTTTAAGGGTTATAGTTCTTGAGTACTTATAGTTTGTATAGTACTAATATCCCTTGTGCCATGTTTCTATATACCTTGGCTGTCAGGTATTAACATACCGTCAGTCTTTCCTTTTTGGAGCCGCTGGCCTCGCATTTATCTTGAACTCGTGGCTGTGGTGCGCTTAGATTTTACTTGAGAGATGTCAGCGGTGACTGACAGTTGCCGATCCACATCAAAGCTAGTCTGCTGCAGGCTATTGCTGGGCGTTTTGTCACTCCTTGCGATCCTACAACATCAAGAGCTGAGCTTATCGATGAGACACTATTTATGCAAGCTTATGTCAACATTGAAGGTCAAACATTTAAAGACTTTCAGGTATTTCCTATTATCACGAAAGCCAGCCGAAAGGCTAGGCGAAGTTAGTGCTGTGAACGGAGTTCGTTATTGGGGGGTGTGGGGGAAGACGGGGAGAAAGTGTTGTATACCACGTTAGCGTGCTGGTGCTGGTGCTTTTACTTTTCCACCAATGTGATTTTTGGTGGCTTGGTAATGCAAAAGATGCAAGGTAACCAAGCATTGCATCACTAGCATCATTTCTAACCGAGAGTAGTACATATGGCTAGTCCAAGGGCAGTCTATTGACATGTGAATGTGCATAGATATCCATTTGTAGAATATGCCTCATACCAGTCTGAGACGAATGCGACGATTTCCCCAGACCATTGCTAGCACCATGTGTTGAGGTTTCAACATGGCAGAAAATGGAGTTGCCGGGGAGAAAGAACCAATCACAAAAGCCAAGTGCCGCGGATAAGGAGCCAATAATGGCAAAAGCTAAATGCCGACTGATACACACACACACACAAGATATTGCGTGCTGAAATCAAATCCTGCGTGCCACACGCCCACCGAGGTGTGAACGCCTAAGAGTACCAAGAGTAAAGGAAGTAGGTCTGAACATGAAAACCTCCAAAGCCCCAACGGTCTTGAAATTCTCGCATCGATGCAAAGGCGGCAAAGGCGGGACACAGTGTTCAATTTGCAATCAGGGACCAACAGGAAGTGAACTCTAGCACTCGAGCAGGTACGTGCAGCTCACTTACGCAAAGGCTGTCAGTTTCAATGATTCAGCAAGTCTCAATTGACGTTTGCGCGAAGGCTCCTTCTGTCCGCTCTGGACACTCCGTTTCCGGGCAATGGAAACATGGACAAACCTTTGCGCAACACCCATAGAGCTGTGCCCAACAAAGCTCTCTATGGTGACCTCAGGATATGCAGCCTGTACCTGCTCGAGTTGGAAAGTTCACCCTGTTGGTCCCTGATTGTAATTAGAACAATGTGTTAGCCTTTGCATCGGTTCTTCAACGGCAGATGCGAGCGATCGCGGTCACTCAGTCGCCGTGAGCCGCGTTTGGAGAATTTCAAGACCGTTGGGGCTTTGGAGGTTTCACGTTCAGACCTATTTCCTTTACTCTTGGTACTCTTCGGCGTTCACACCCAGGTGGGCGTGTGGCATGCGGCATTCGATTCATTGCCCAATATCTTGAGTGTGTCTGGCCTCTGTGCCAGCCCGGGTGAGCCCGAGGAGTGCCCCCCGTGGCTTTGCTAAGCCAGACGAATCGCAGGGGGCCCGGCCGACGGCCCAGGCTTGAACTCTAGGTGCTGGCCATTTCAGGACCCAAGAAATCGAGTAATAGTTCTATTCATGTCTCGCCCACTTCCCACCTCAGTTTCCACTGCGCCGGGTTCTTTCATACATTTAATTACCTCAGAATACATACATAGCGCCTGACAGAACCTCAACCACGCTGGAGACCCTCCTCCATCCGGGGGCCATTTCAAGATGTCCAATAAATTTTCCAACGAATCGATTTAATCATTTTTATACAAATATCGCACCTATTTTCCACATCAGTTTCCAGCACACCCTGTTGTTCCAACTACATATAGGTGCTGATGCAATGGGGCCGCTTGAAGCTTGCAGCAGTCCAAGTAGGAAAACCACGGTGAGCCCATCCCTGTTCTGCAGACACCCCCTGGTGGAGGCAGCAGCGAGTCAGCGGTCTAAACCCAGACGGTCTAGATAAACATTCTTGCCCGGCCCGATCTCCGCTTGCGGCAGACCCTCAACAATCTTGCCATTGCTTGGGGGGTCTTGCTCTACGGCTCTCCAGCGACTTTCACCAGCTTCCCCCTGCGTAGGGCGACGCCTCTCATCAATCCCCTAAGGCCCTGGCTGCAGCGCGTCCAAGGGATTGCCTTACCTTTCAACAAACGCGTGCCGCCACTGGTGCCGATCTTTGGGCCAACATCCACCCTGTCCTGCTCGTCGACTTCAGCCATCGTTGCACCGCGCTTCTGCATACATTGCTCCAGTGCCTCGCTGCAGACAAGGTCCAGGCTTCTTCTTGTCCCCTTGGTCTTCTCTGCCGTTCCGTACGGAGCTTCGAAACGCTTACAGAGCCGAAGAGTTTGCTTTGGGCGCCGACCGCTGCTCTTGTGCCAACAAACCTGCTCCTCTCACGCCGAGCTCGCCGCAGAAGCTACAGCTCTTCATACTCTCAGCGCTCCCAACCTTGCCGCAGTTCTATGCCTTTGTCGCGGTGTGCAGACCTGCTCGGAAACCAAGCTCTGCGCATCTCTGGGCCTCGTTTGCGGTTGCGTCGCCATCGTCGACGACATCCTCTTCGACAGAAACGAACCGTACCTTTGGCCTCTTCCGCGCTTATTGATTTTTCTTCTCTCCTGCTCCGTTTCACCATGTCACTCCCCGCCAAGGTCCTTCCCTGACTCCCAAGCCTCCCGCCGCATCCTCTACTTTATGTACCTCTTGGTTTGATCTTGTGCATACCGGATGTATCCTGGATCAAACATGCTGGCTTGGGAGCACGGCGTTTCTTCCTCGCTCGTGGCACTTCTATCCCCGGGTCCCTCCTTCCGATACTGTCACCCTCGACAAGGACAACCAAGCATTCCTTCAGCTCCACCGGTGCCAGCTGCCGATTTCGAACTTTGCATTCACCGCGTACAACCTCCAAGGTCAGACTTTGCCGTCCATTATTCTTGATCTGCGAGGCCGCCTCACATGAAGACCCTGACCTGGTTTGCCATTTTTCACATTCACCCCCTATCCATCACTCTTGCCGCCATCGCTGGCCACCGCTATATCTCCTTCCTCGTATCACCCCGTCAGGACGAGTATAGGGGTTCGCGAAATGATGGCACAAGTAAAATGGTTGAAATATGCCATCAAAGATTAAAGATTTCAGCGCAAAATTGAGCTTTGACAATAGGAACACTCAAATGACATACCAATACACTGAAGCAATGGCAGGGCCGCTGTGAGAGCGGGGTTCTTTGAGAGTGCTGGGGTTGCACTCACAAAAGAAAAGTAAAAGAGAGGGAGGAAGGCAAGCAGGGAGAGAGGGAGGGAGGAGGAGGAAGGGAATGAGGAAATGACATGCACTAACACAGAAACAGCATACTGAGAGGAGAGGACGATTATATATAACAATGGTAGGTCCGCTGCGAGAGCAGGGCACAAAGCAAAAGGGAAAGAAGAGGCAGGGAGTGAGGAAGGGAGGAGAATGAAATGAATTGAACATAGGAACGCTAAGATGGCACACCACACACAAATTGAGAGAGAGAGAGGGAGTTACAGAGAGTGAGAGAGTGAGAGTGAGAGTGAGCTAGTCTCATACTAGAATCCAGCAAATGGAATGAAGTCCAAGAGAAGGAACAAAGGAAAGAAACTATACAGACAGGAAAGGACACCCCCCAAACAAAAACACATATAATATATGTATACGTATATAAGATGAGATTATTTTTCACAGCTGTTGTACATATACATCGTACCTACCACGCGTGTTATGGCTCAAGAAAAAGGTGTAGTATTTTGGCTGTTTCCTATCTGAAATAGATTATCAGCCGTAGGTCTCACCAAGTCTTCTCGCTCGTACCACGTGCTCCTAGCCATGGCAGGACAAGGTTATCCGTCGATCATTGATTTGTCGTCGGATCTGGACAATATGTCCGCGCGTGATGCAACGCCTGAGGTTGCGAGTTCCACGGCGCTTATGCCGGAAGGGTTTGGGTTCATGGACATGCCGTTAGGGCCTGACATTGCCCGATATGACCCTCCCTCCATGAGTGCCAGCGGGAACGCTGTGCCGATTCACATGAGTAAGACAAATGTGTTGAATCAGCACTTGCATGTTCACCAAGCCCCGACGACTGATGCAAGGTTAATCGAGGCTGTCGCCGAAGAAAGACACCGGCATGCCATGGACATCCAAGGTGAACAGCTCAACATTGTGAGCGCCCAGCGTGACGAGATGCATATGCAGGGGTTAAGGTTTATGAATGAAGCTGAGCAAATGTTCCATGAAAACGCGGTCGTCAAACAGGAAGCAACTGCATTTGTTGAAGCTGCCCAGAGAGGTTACGAGGCTTTTGCTGAGGCTTCCGCGGCCGAATTGAGGTCCGTGAAACAACACCATGAAAGTCAGATGTTGGATGCACGCATTCGTAGCGATCATGCCATTGAGAAGTGCATGGCGACAATTGGTTCATTGAATAATCATGTTGAGCGTCAGAACCGGCAAACGGAGAGTCTTCAATTGGAGTTGAGAGAATCCATGAAGAAACAAACTGATCTCCAAAGCCAGCTGAGTGCTCTTCGAGACGCCAGACTCCAGAACGATCTGTTCGGTTCTTGGTCCGCCTTTCGCGCGCCGGAAGGTCCAGCCGTTCTGGGTCCAAGGGGTCTCCCGATGATTCCTGCAGGGGGCAACGATGAACTTCAGACCCGAGATTACTCTCCATCCATCCCCAACCCAACTACGCTTAGGCAAACCGTCAAACAAGAACCAAAGGGCACTACGATTCCGAGGAATGAACCTACTGAGGAATCCCTGTTTGGTTCACCATTGAACTCCATGAGGTCAGGCGAAGGTGTGATTCCACCATTGCCACTGGGAACCAGTGATCAGACCGGTAAGGCTCCAAATGGAGCACCCGGAGGTGATCCCCCACCACCTCAGCCAGAAGGTGGTAACGGTCCTCCAAAGGGAGATGAAGCCAAGGGGAACCTTCGGCCGAGCCCGAAGAAAGCAAATGTTGGTGGAGGAGGCCCGCCTGACGAGCCTGGGGACGATGATGACGGGGATGGGGATGATGACGATGACGACGACGATGATCACGATGAGGGAAATCTCTCGGGCCGTGATTTGTTGAATGCCCTCAAGCAACTTCTCAAGGGGAAAAAGAAAAGCTCCGAGAATAATGCCAAGGAAG